GCAGTGTGCATTTGGTGCACACTGAGCATATGTGTGCACAGTTTGCAACGCACATGCATGGCCAGCAAACTGGTAGCAAACTGGTTCACATTTCACCCTTGCTGTAAACTCTAATGCACTTATTCACTGTTACATTGTCTGTGCATGTTTTAATGTATGACAGTACAGTGTCAGTAAATTCTTGCACTCCAAATGTTCAAATATACTCCACTTGGTAGTCTCAAAGCAGTCCTGCAACTCTCCCTCTGGCCAGATTTTAACAGTTTTCATGACTGGCCATATCCTTTTCCTAAGGGGGATATACTTTCGGCACAATAGCAGAGAGAGGTGGTCAGACGTACCAGATGGGAGATGGGAATTGCTCTATATGCCTGTCTTAAGTTTGAATGCATATGGTCTAGAGTGTTCTTACTTCTGGTGGTACACTGCACATACTGCACGAAGTTAGGGAGAACAGACTGTAGACAGGGTTGATTAAAATCTCCAGCCACGACAAAAGCGCCCTCAGGGTAAGTTTGCTGCTGCCTCTCGATGGTGTCATGTAGCTCCGAAAGCACTGTGCTAACATTTGCATCAGGTGGAATATAGACAGCGGTGATAACCATCACAGAAATCTCTCTTGGTACATATGACCGTTATTAATTCCACGTCCGGAGAACAGTGTGTATAAGTAACTCTACTGTTAGCACACCAGTCATTATGTGTGTAAATGCAAAGTACTCCACCTTTGCTTTTACCAGAGTTGCCGATTCTGTCGAAGCGGTGTGTGGTATGGTTAGTTAGCTCCACTGATGCATCCGGTACAAATGGAAAGCCAGGTCTCCTGTGAAGTCTCTTGTGGTTTTCTTTCTTAAGTGTAAACCAACAATATGACCCACAGATATGACAATGTGCTCCAAAAACATACTTGTACACTCTCTCATGCATACATACACACATGCATACACACACACACACATAAGTGAGCATGCTAATTTTAAAGTACTATATTTTGAGATAGCTTGGAAGCCTCTTTGTTTCTTCTTGAAGTGATTGCCATCTTTACATTTCAGTAATTTCTTTACAGATAATAATTAGCATGCCATTACTAGGAAAAATGACATATAAATGATCTTTTAAGAACATTGAAATATTCTCTGCGTCACTATTATATCAAAATATGTCTGAACAGTATTTTTTTCCTTTTCTGAGTTATAAAAATACTACTTTTAGCAATAGAACTTATCATGAATTAATTTAAGAACTGTCTCAGTACCTTTATTGGGAAATCAGAATGCTTTAAACTAAAATAATTTTGACCTCTCAAAATGTTGTAAGCTTTGAAGTATGACTCATATGTATGGTCATACATTTCACTGTATGGTCATATACATGAATGGAACAAAATCATATATGAGTTGCAAGGTTGTGTAAATTGTCATTTTTATTAACTATATTTAAATAGAAAATATTCACAGTTAAATTGGCATAGCTCAATTCACACTTAATCATAGAGAAGACTCACAGACCACATGGAGATATTCTGATGTCATAAATGTCATGGCATCAATATTCAAATGATACAAGTTTATCATTGTAAAATTGTAATCCAAAAATAGATGCCCGTACCTAATCTGGCTTTTCATCATTTTACAAAATATGAATATGTTTGACTACAATCCATGTCTTGTGCCAGTGCCTCAAATTTGCATATTTTTATATTCTCTTCAAATAAACTTAAAATCACAATGAATTAATCATTATCCTATACTTTGTTTGAAGATCTCTATGCAATATTGACAGAGATTGAAGACAATGACATTTTCAATCTATATGTCAGGGTTCCAACTGTTGCCCTAATAAAAGCAGGAGCCTGAAGCCAGTTTTCAAGAAAAATCCAGTTATTTATTAGAAGCGCCATGTCGGCACAGACCCCACTCAGTTTGCATCTTGCCCCTAACCCTGTTTCTTCCTCTCCCCAAGGTGTGTCATCAGTCACATTCCCCAACAAAACAATTTCACGGGTCGTAGAAGTCACTCCCTCCGGCCATTACTGGTTTCTGTGGAGATGGTCTTGACTTTGGCTGGCTAGGATGTGCATTGTTTTAATGTATCCCAATTTTCTTGGTGCTGTTAGTCACTTTTAACTATGTAATAGCTATTTTCAGCCTATGTTTAGAAACCAATAGGACAATCAGCAAAATGCTACATATAGTATACCAATTTCCAAGTAAATAATCTTATATAACAATATTGATTTGCATTAATATCCAAAACAATATAATTCAAATCTCATTTAGATAACTCAGTCCAACCTCTACAACATCATTTCAAACTATGAAAGATCTCTATTCATCAATTGCAAACATAGTTCCACCTATTGTTTTCAGACCAACAGTAAATCCCATTTAAAAAATCCTCATTTACAGGAGGATGCTTAAGCTGCCCCCAATACTAGATATACATGACTATAATTTCCTTACTATTTCATGACAAGTTCTGCATAAGGCTTTATTTTTTACAAGCCTGATGGGGGAAAAAAAGAGACATGATTCCTTTCCCAATTCTTCTGAATCGAAAAGATAAGATGGTTCTTTTTTGAGATTATTTCTTATTTTATTATTATTATTACATTTGTTTGTCGCCCATCTCGCCACAAGGTGATTTATCCCAGAAAAAAAATGTGAAGACTCTGAAAATACCATCAAGCAAAGTTCTCTGCTGTCTCTGAAGTCTTAGGCAGAATTAAAATATTACAGTTGATGATGCAGGGGCGCAGAATTTTGGACTTTTCTATCCAGAACAACACATATGAAATTATGATAATACTTTCCCACTTAGAGAACATCAAACAGGTTTACAACTTCAGATTTTTCATTTTTTAAGTCATTGATGATTTGTGTAATACTTGCTGAAGCCACTTTTGTCACTAACTCTATCTACTTTGACAATATCTAATTACTAACATAGTGTTACTTTAATTCTAGCATCTCAAGACATCCTGGTGTGTTAAAAGACAACTTGCAAGATTAGATTTGCAGGATCCAGGATTCCCTAGCCTAAGTATCAAGGTCCCAGTAACATAATGTTTTTAAAGGTAATAACATACTAATTAATTCCTTCTTTCCTTCCTTCCTTTCTTCCTTCCTTCCTTCCTTCCTTCCTTCCTTCCTTCCTTCCTTCCTTTCTTTCTACTATTGTATGATGATAACCTTAAAATGTTAGTAACATTTTATGCCGTCACAGATTTTTTAAAAAAAAATATATAGGCTTGTCTAAAAATAAAATAACATTCTAGGTAACATTCATCTTAATTGCAGAAATTCTTTCCAACAGTGAAAATTGTACTTTGTCTCATCTGGCATATCTTTTTTAAATTTCATTCCATGTCTTAACATAATTATTTTAAAGTAATGTACAATTCATATTTGTCATAGTTATACGCAAATATTTTACTTTTGTCTCAATCTTGAAATCGATTTTATTAATTAGTCCTATTTGGTCCTGTAACTTCATATTTTATTTTATTTTTGTTAACATCTTTGTCTTTTGCAGTCTCTGCATGTCTTCTCTATATATCTTTGTCTACGCACGTCTCAGAAGACTGCCTTCTTTGGGAGTATCATTTTATGAGAATAAAAGTTAAATTTACCTTCCTGCAAAGTTTTCCTTAATAGTATGGATCATACTAATTACTGCCGATATAATAGAATAAGAAAGCAGTGAAGGAATATTGTGGATTCGGAGTATGTATGCTGGTTTGTATGTATGTATTTTATTTGTATTCTGCCACATTTATGAATGATTTTCAGTTAATGAAAACCATTAATCAAGATATATTAAAATTACTAAAACATCCACAATAAACAAATTAATAAGCCATAAAATATCTAAATGTAATGGTCCATAATATAATCATCATATGAATCAATGAATATACATTAATGATTAATTCTAATTACAAATGCCCTGTTAAAGACCTTTATTTTTAACATTTCCTAAGTGAGTTCAAGGAAGGATCGTACTAAATTCCATTGCCAAACTGTTCTAAAAAGGTGGTACTGGTATTAAGCAGCACTTTCTTACTTGCATCTCTCAATACTTTCCAGAAAGTGGACTCAGTGTTTCTCAAGGTGACTGCAATCAGAAGAGTTAATTCCAGCTGGAGGAGTGATTCTAGAGATAAGTAGGTGTCAAGTCATAATGGGTTTTAAAGGTCAAAATGAAGCACTTTAAATTTCACCTGGAACCCTATTGAAAGCCACTGAAAGAATCTTGATATCCTGTTTTTGGTTTTGAAAAGGCTATCAACCCAGAACATATAACATCAGTACTCTATTCAGACTCTATTCAGAACACCTTTCCAAGACAGACATGCTGAATAATTACAAATGTTACATATAACATTTTCTAATTTGTTTTAATTGGTCTTTCCTTGTTTCTCTGGCACTTATTTAAAATGTTACAAAATCTCTGATGAATGCCTTAAATTATAGCATATAGCAGGTTTCATGATTCCAATATATATTCCATTTCCCGTTTTAAACATTTTTTATTACATTATAGAATAAAATACAAAAATATGAAAGCAAATAATAGGGCACAGTGGGGAGGAAAGGGAGAGAGAAAAGTGAGGACAGGAGGAAGAAAAGAAAAAAGTCAATGTTTTCTTCATTTTTCTTTTCTTTTTTCCTCCCTACTGTGTCCTATTATTTGCTTTCATATTTTTGTATTTTATTCTATATATATATATTCCATTTCCCAAAGTCGTATTATTTGAAGGATTATATTACTAGGATGGGAAGGCAGAATTAAACATATTTCCATCTTAATCATATTAGTATACATGCTCTTGAATAATCCTTGAGGGATTATCTAGATTATCTACAACATAATGTTCAACAGCTTTTAGGGATGTACATACATTTTTGTACATTCTCCATGTAATTTGCACATTGTCCAGATATCAATATACTTCAAAAAGCAAACATATTGTTTCAACAATATGGCCATACCACTGTTGTGACCCCGGCCCCGGAGGCTGATTTATCTTCGCATGCTGAGTTGGAGGATGATATGGAGGAGGAGAGAGCTATCACAAGCTATGTGCTGGAGGGGCTGTCTTCACTGGTGAGTCAGCAAGAACTGACAGTTGCTGATGTGCCTCTGGACCCCAGCCAAATTGAGGAGGAAACAGAGGCCGGTAACGATGAGGGGGAACCCCTATTGGATGCAAGAGAGAGAGACACAGGAGACATCGTAGAGAACAGTTATTGACACATCCCAAGAGGTGTAGTAAGGAGATGTGGGGCCACACCCTACAAAGTATAAAAGGGGTGTGACTGGGCTGGAAAGGCGTGGTGAACAATTTGTTGGCATTTTGGATGCAGTGGATTTATAACTGTTAGTTTGGAGGGTTTTTTGACAAGAGTCTGCATTCCTGCATTAGCCTGCTGGCCGTCTGCCAATACCTTTGGAACATTGCCCGGTAACTATTGGATTAATATACGCTTTGGAAGATAACTATTTATTATAGGGCCAGCTTTAGTCTCTCTAGCCTGTGTTTGTTACTTCCGGGACAGAACAATCACTATGTTTAGACATTCATATTACCTGGGATCCAACCACTGATATTCTTTGAACAAATCAACTGGACTAAAGAAAAAATACAGCATGGCTAAAGGCTTCTTTTCATATTAATCATCTGTCAATCTGCTGAGTAGTAGAAGGATTTTGAGAAAATATAGCACTCTTCCTCATTCATGCAGTAGAGTTTACTGAGTTACCCTCTCATACACATCATTATAAAGTTGAGAAATGGCTGATTGTTAACAATATGACGGAAAGGAAAAGGATTAAGACCCCAGTGTCTATAAAGAAATTTAACAATTAACCCATATTCTGTCACCAGGGTCAGTTTTGTCTGAGAACAGGTTTGATTTAGGGTTAAGATACCAGGCTAAAAAACAAAGAATCTGAGTTTTTAGTCTTGCCTTAGATATGAAAGCTGACTGGGTGACTTTGACTCCCTCTCAGTCCATGCCTTAAGCTCATCAACAACACAGTTGGTCAATTCCTATCCCAACCACACTTGGTTGATAAAAAAATAAAAATAAAAAACCTGCACTTGTGGGAAAAACATTAGAAAGAAAAAACAATTTGTCACCATACAATCTCCAAATGGGCAAAATTCCTCAGAAAACATTTTTACTTGTTATTTAATATGTATAAACACTAAATTGATTTTCAGAAACAGGCTATACTAAAAGTGCATAGTTTCTGGTTTCTTTTTCTCACTTTTTAAAGGGGAAGAGTATGTTGATGTGTTAAAACTGTAGATAAATTCTGCAAGTTTTAAATGAGATTTAAATAAACTCTAGAAACAAATGAAAGTTAGAGATAAGCAAACATCCTCTTTTCCTTGGTGGTTCAGATATTTTTCAAACAATTTACTGGCTAAAGGCTATAATAAATTTTAAAAATGAAATTGCATTTTTCAAGTGATAAATGGTTATTCATGGACTAATGATAATTCTTTAGAGCATTAGTTCCATCTCTTTTTATTGCAAAAAAATCTTATATTTTATATTAGCTCTAAAACAACATTTTGGTTTCTTTAGAAGCAAATATCTCTAGAGCAGACTCAATGTCCTCCTGGAATAATATATATGAGGCAGAATATCAACATTTCCCTTTGTACAAGTTATTCTTTTACTAACAGTGTGAACCAAGACGAATAGCTTTAACAACTGGAGACAGTTTTGAAGAGATTAATTATTATAATGCAAATCTGAAAAGAGGAGACGATATGAAATACGTATAATGTAAAAGAAATCAAAATATGATTGCTTTGTTCATGCCTTTTCCACAATACACTTAAAGATACTCAATAAAACTCATAGGAATTTCAAGTGGGCATAAGAAACAATGCCTGCATGATCAGCATATACAGAGTTAATGAACTGAATGTTGCAAGATGTAATGATAACCAGAGGCACATTTAGGAAAGGTCCATCAATAAGATTAGCAGGAAAGCTCATAAACTTTCATGAATTTGCATAGGCCACAACACATTGTGATTATTCCTCCTCTTATTTGTTCCTACCTATTTCTCTTTTGCATCCTGGGTTTTTTTTAAACCTTCTTATCTATGGATATGCTTCTGATTACCATTCGTGTTTGCATTATGGGCTTGTGAAAAATAATTTACTGTCTCCATTATGAACAGGAATAAAACAGTTTGATCTATAGGATTTGAGTTAAATTTATGATGATGATGATGATGATGATGATGATGATGATGATGATGATAATAATAATAATAATAATAATAATAATAATAATAATAATAATAATACCCTAAAGTAACTTTACAGGTTGTACTTTTAATGTATTCCTATTGTTATTCTTAAAACATTTTCTCCTTTATTAACATCTAATTAATACTTAAATTCCTTAATGTACTCCTTGTGGCTGTTTCTATCCTTAATTATTTTACCTAATTATTGTGCTGCATTAGAACAGTTTGGTTTTCGCTTTCCTATGGTATTTGTTCTTAGAAAGAGGTGAAGACAGATAGAAAAGTGGACTATTTTTTTCTCCTATGCTAATGTTCTCTTTTAAACCATCCTCTGAAAAGCTAGCAACTGGACAACTGACTTCAGTCCAACTCCTGGACTAGAATTGAAGTTTCTCTGTGAGTCCTTTTGCCACACTCCTTGACTCCTTCACCAATTTTTATGCTTGCCTGCTATTGATGCTGTAGGAATTCTTTCCTTTGTTGATACTCCTCCTGGTGTTGTTGACTGCATACCATTTGCTCTTTTTTTCTTTAGCATCATCTTCAGATGATGTAGCAATAATACTTAGTGCTGGGCATTATTAATGTCAGTTCCTCTGCCCAACAGGAAAAATTATTTATTTCTCATTGTTTCATAAACTCAAAGGTCATCTTAGTAATGAATTGGTCATCTTAGCCTTTTTCCAGAAGAAATTATATTAGATATGTATGTCTTAAGCTGTTTGTGCAATGAAAAGTGCTATTCAGTAATTCATCTGAATTGATCCACATCCCTATTTTAAAATAGGGCTGTGGCTTGGATAAAATTGCCTATGTAGACTGACCATCACCTATGTAGATAGATGAACTATGGGCCAACAGCAAAGTCATTTCATGAAGACTGCAGTTAACCTCATCAGACAGGACAAAAATATATGTTTTATCTAAATGGTCTCTAGGCATGGTGTTTGCCTTTTTTTCCTTTTCTCTAATAGTATATTTCTTGCTTTCAACATGTTATTCAAAAATATTCAACATATTTTTTCTACTTTTGAGATCTTACTGCTGAACTTTCTGCTTTGGCAGCCTAGGATCCTTTTCATTACAGAAACCTGCCACCTGCTATCCGTGAAATATATAGATTCATTAAACCATTTTTAAATCATTGTCTTTTCCATTTGATTTTAAATTGAGCTCATACACAGTACTGTTTAACATAGTTGTTAAACATTGTTAAATAGCTTTCTGAAAAATCTAAACATATGGATGGAGGGCTGGTTTCTAATCTTTAGTTTCATAAGTGACATTAAAAAAGATTAGTTAAAATGAGAACAGTGTGCAGATATCCTGCTGTGGACACAAAACACCTTTCTGCTTTTTAAAAAGTTTCTACATAGTTTATGAGAGCCAGCTTGGAATAGTGGTTAAGGCACGAGGAAGCTGTGCATTCAAGTCCTGCCTTAGGCCCAAAACTAGCTGGCTGGCCTTGGGTCAGTTATTTTCTCTCAGTCCTTGACAAACCACTTTTGAAAGTGAGGAGTTGCTGAGAAGTAAACTGCAGGAACTTGTCCAGGCAGTCTCTAACAATAGGACATGATTGAGCAGAAGAGATACAGAGAAAGAGAGAGAGATATAGTTTCTAGTTTCTACCAAAATCAGTCTTAGTTGTTGTTGTTGTTTTTTTGCAGTGAAAAGTATTAGGATTATGCTCAGGGTTGTGTAGTGATACAGAAAGGCAAAAATGAGATTTCTATTGACTATGCACCATAAGGACTTCTTTAAGCTAATGTACTTCTTCCTAGGCTTGCAGAGATGCTAAACAAAGACATCTTTCCAAAAAGTGCTACAATATGCATCCATGAAAACAAATTTATTGGTGTTTGGTTTGCCAGTACAGATGGGAGAGATTTAAAAAAACAGGACATGTCATCCATCATAGGCATAGTGAGCAAGGTCTAGAGAGAACATGGCCAAAGCATAACTTGAATCCAGAAAGGATTTTTTAAAGCAAGCTTCATGTCCAATAGCTTATGCTGTACATATGAATTAAGCAGCTCAAGGCTGCAGTGTAAAAACTGTTGTCTAACTTTTCCCACAAACTCTGATTCTATTATTTTATAGTACCTGGGGATCTGATTTCCTCTATCTTCCAATGTTTAATCCAGATTAGCAACTTTAACACCTCCTCTGTTGGACATACTTCATTGCAGTCAGTGGGTTATATGAAACTGGAGTAAATAGAAAGATTTCCCTCTTATTGTTACAGCTGTACAATAAATAAATAACTCATTTTGGTAACTTTTATCATCATGTCAATAAAGAATATTACAAACAAAGTTGGTAATATCAGTGCTTCTTTCCCTAATTTTATAACTATCAAAATAATATTAAAAAGGGAAATTGTAACAGAAATAATTTTGCTTTCCATGGTAGGGCTAGTAGCTCAATTCCTTTAGTTCGGGATAAGATTGTAGGGTTTGTTTGTCTGTTTTTATGTCTAATACTGCTTAATACATGGAAAATACTGACTCTTGTCACCCATAATTAAATGAACTTGTAAAGGGAAAGAATATTTTACAACTGAAGGATTTTACATTTTAATAATTCACATTTTAGCTTGATTGACTTTTTAAACCTAGAAACCAAGAAACATAAAAAAAACTGATGGCAGAAGAAGATCTAGTGGTCCTTCAAGTCTGTCCTTTGAGTTTATTTTTATTTTTTAATTCTTTTGTCGGATGATAGGCATGTGTTTGCTCCAACCATGCTTAAACTGAGTTTCTAATAATTGACCCACTATCACTGCTGGAAGATGGTTCCAAGGTTCCACTACTCTTTCTAACATTACTGTTGAACTCGCGTCCTGTCAGTATGAGGGTACGCCCTGTGTCCTTGGTTTTACTTAATATTGAAAATACTGTTTTCTGGAACATTATTAATATCTTTAATATATTTAAAGATCTCTATCTTTCTCTTCTGTCCACAGAACCTAACAGACATTAATATCTCTCCTAACATGTTTTGCCCCTCAGACTTTGCGCCATTTTTGTTGCCCGTCTCAGGACTCATACAATTTTACCAATATCTTTTTTTAAGACAGAGCTGGACACAGTATTCCAAATGGGGCCTGACTAAAACCCTGTATACAGGGGTGGCATTCACTTACCTTTGATACCAGTTCACAAATGTGACTGCACCCGCCACGTCCACACATGCGCAGGACCTTCTGCGCATGCACAGAGCTTCAAAAACAGGACACAATGACATACAAGTGGGTGGGCGGAGCCTCCCATTGCCACCGTTACCAATTAGAACCGACTGAATACTGCCACTGCCTATATAGTGGGATTAAGACCTCCTTTTTCCTGCTGGTGATCCCTAACCCTAACCCTAACTGATTCATCCCAGAATTTTGTTTGACTTCACAGCTGCCTGGCCGTAATGTTTACTCATTTTGCAGTCATCTGCTATGAGCACAGCTAAATATTTTTCTTCTGTTGTTCTTACACTGTACCCCCAATACTGTACCCTGCTAGAGGATTCTTTTTCCCTAAGCGCATGATCTTACACATTGAACTGCAGTTTCCACAATTTTGACCTATTTTTCAGCAATGCCAAATAGTTTACCATGTTACAAATACCCCCAGGAATGTCAACTCTACCATACATCTTTGTGTCATCAGCAAAAAAACAAACTTTACCCGGCAATCCTTGTTATATCACAAATACATGAACAGGACAGGACCAGTGGTGGGATTCAAGTAATTTAACAACCGGTGTCTGCCCTAATGATTTCTTCCAACAACCAGTTTGCCAAACTGCTCAGAAAGTTAACAACCGGTTTTCCTAAAGTGGTGCGAACTGGCTGAATCCCACCACTGGACAGGACCTAGGACTGAGCCTTGTGGGACACCATTTATGACTGGTCTTTGTTCAGACAGTGCCCCATTAACTATCACACACTGGGATCTATCCCTGAGCCAAATTCCTACCACTGAACCACCCAGTGGTTAAGCCCTTGCATATACAACTTTCTTATGAGTTCATTATACACATCTTAATTTATCTTTTAGTTTACCATTTTACCACAAAAAAAATATTATCCATCTTTTTTTATATGAAACTTTTCCTCAGTTGGGTATCTTATTGGATCCAATCCTTCCTAAACTGATCATCAAGGGACAAGAGATTACCTTGTATTTAAAACTGTTTTTGTGAGAAAGGCAGGAAGGCAAAAAAGAAAGCAGGTGTTTATTTTGTCTTCTGCCTCTCCGTGGCAGGAGACAGACTGAGAATTAATTGCTTTTGTGTTTTCAGAACTGTGATGAATTATCATTTTCTTTTTTCCTGAATGGAAAGTGTTGGTTACCAGCAATAATACTTCCACTTACTATTGTATTCAGCCTCCTATCTTCTTGAAACTGCCTTTGGAGTGCAATTCTGATGGGCTAAATTGACTCTCTTGCTTCTTTCTTATCCTTTTTAAAAATTCTTTTGAAGAGGATCTGGTGTTGAATACCCTGAAAGCTTGCACAAACTTCCATGTCATTTTTTCTGGTCTTAATAGAAGTATTGCTCAGCTATGAGTTTTATATACTGTCTAGTGTATAACATGTTCAACCATTAATATTTGAGAAACATTTTTGAGGATTTGTTTTTCAAGACACTCTTATAAGTATTGGCCTTATTGTAATAAAATATTCTGCTCTTTCTCTCTAGCATGAAATAGATTTTTCCTGCCACAGAAAATGAAGACTATTCAGTGAGTAAGAGAGAAAATCTGAAAAAAATGAAGTTGATTGAGAAAGAGTGAAAACCCATCTGAAGAAATGGGTGCTGAAAAGTTCATACAGATAAAGTGTGTACAAAATATATATATATATTTGTACAGGAATAGTCACTTTAAAAAATCAGCCCTGATGTCTGAATTAGCAACTCATAGGTGAGTACAGATGGTTTAAATTGTTTGATTTAATAGGACAAAAGTTGCCAGATGGCCAAAGACATCTATGAAGTGAAACAAGTATCAGTTAAACAGGAGTGCTTTTTTCTTCTCACCATAGCAGTTGGTTTTCTAGGGGTGCTGAAACTGGGAATAAGACCCAACTGGTACAATTAGTGTTACATAGAAGACAGAAACAAAGGAAACATGGCAAGAAGAGAAGAAGTGCAGAGGCCATGTCTTACACCAGATGGTGTTAATGGCATATCTAAATTAGATCCAAAGCTATGTTTTTATGTACTTATGTACAACTAAAGTAGACGTACAGATTTTGCAACAATTCTTTTCTCAGAAACCAACAGAAGTTTATTCTGAAGTGTATTGTTTAACATTTTATTGTCAGTATGAAAAAATCAAGTCTATAGACAGCCCATCCTTCACTTTTAACTATACAAAACTTTGAAATTTGTCAACCTAAACATACCACATTAATCCCAATACATTATCAGTTGTCTGATTATATTTTTTAAAAAAAATCCTGCATCCCTTTTGAGATATATCATAAATATTGTAAACACATAATTGTGGATTATTACTTTGCTTTCACACTGATAATCCATCTGTCCTTCTTCTGACAAATGTCTTAATAACTTTCTTGTATTAACAAATATATTTTAATAATAATGGAGCCATCTCACATACACTTATCCCTGATCTGAAACAACTGACTGATGCTCAGAACATCTCTTTGAAAGGAAACAATTCCACAATGTGGGTGTAACCACAGAAAAGGCCTGCTACGTAGCCCCCCCCCGAAATGTAGCTCCCTCCCCAACAGAACCAATAACTCCATTAGGATTAGAGTAGTATAGGTTTAATCTGGCAAGATTCTATCTACATGTGTGAGCAAACAAAGAATTTGACTGGATTATTGTATGTGATTCTTGGGCTGACCATGACATCAATTTTGCCAGACTAAAGCTATACTACACTATCCCTAAGGAATTCTGCATGTCCTGGGATATTCTAGGAAGTGACATTTGAAACCATCATTACAGACCCCTAGGCCATGTCTAGGCCAAACTTGTATTATCACTCTAGTGTTTTAAATGTATTCTAGGGCAAAGCTTCTTGTGCTGCGAGATTCCCCCCTCTCGCAGGCCTGGCCCTCTATGTAATGACGGATCTTGGGACCACGAGAGGTGGCATGTCGCAAAAAGGGGATTGAGGGGTTTTTTTAAAGACATTTTTAAATAGACTTTTAAGGGGTTCTGAGGGGTGGGGAGGTTATGTGGGTTTGGGGGAAAACCCACGGGGGTTGGAGACTAGTCCGGCTGCTATTAATGGTGCCATAGGGGGTGCGGACTCTGGGGGAAAGGGGACTGTTAGAATGCCCTCTAGTGAGGGCTTCTCTATATGCTGAGTGGGAGGGGCAGGTATGGCGGGAGCAGGGGGCCGTATCATGTGGTGGGGACACGTGCTCGCTATCTCTGAGCGATTGCGTGCCCCGGTCCCCTTAGCTCTTCCCGTTCCCCAGGCTGCTTAGAGTCTCAGGGCCCGAGTCTCCGGCTGATGTTGTGTAATGTCAGGTCCGTAGTAAATAAAGCCCCCCTCATTTGTGATCTTATTTAGGAGGGGGGAGCGGACCTGGCAGGTATCACGGAGACCTGGTTGGGCCATGAGGGAGGAGTTCCCCTCGTGGAGATGTGCCCATCAGGCTTCCATGCATTTCATCAGCTGAGAGCTCAGGGTAGGGGCGGGGGGGTGGCGGTCATTCTAAGAGAAGGTCTTGATCTGAGGGAGACCATTGTACCTCAGATAGCCGGATGTGAGTCCCTCTTTATGAAGTGGGGTCATGGGGTGCAGATGGGTCTGTTGATCATGTACCTGGCTCCCTGCCACGTGGCAACGACCCTGCCCGAACTCCTCAATGTTATAGCTGAGGTGGCGGCTGATACCCCCAGACTTGTGGTCATGGGGGATTTCAACCTGCCATCCATCGGTGAAACATCTGAGGTAGCTCGGGAGTTCATGGCTTCCATGACTGCCATGGACCTGACCCAAGTAATCCACGGCCCTACTCATATGGGGGGACACACTCTGGACTTAGTTTTTATCTCTGGTCAGTGGTTGAGTGGCCTTGATATAGGGGATGTAGATATTGAACCCTTGTCATGGTCTGACCACTCGCTTCTTCGACTTGACTTTCCAACCACCGTACCCCGTCGCAGGGAGGCGGAGCCGACCAGGTGGTTCCGCCCCAGGAGCCTGATGGACCCTGATAGGTTCCAGATGGAGCTTGGGCCATTTCCTGAGACTCTAGCTCATGACTCGACTGATGACCTGGTGGCCGCCTAGGATAGGGCGGCTGCTGGGGCTTTGGACAGAGTCGTGCCTTTGCGGCCTCTGACCCGGCACCGAACTCACTTAGCTCCTTGGTTCTCCGAGGAGCTGAGGGAGATGAAGCGCCGGAAAAGATGCCTAGAGAGCGGTTGGAGGGTCAGTCATTCCGAATCTGACTTGACACTGGTAAGGTCTCATATTAAGACCTACCTAGTGGCAATAAAAGCGGCGAAATCTAGCTATTTTGCCACTCTTATCACGTCATCAGATAACCGCCCAGCCGCCCTGTTTAGGGTGACCCGCTCCCTTCTCCATCTGGGACCCCTTGCAGGGCCGAGCTGAGGACTTTGTACAGTATCTGGATGATAAAATAACTCAGATTCGGGAAGACTTGGCCGCCAACTGGGTTAGTTCAGACGAGATGACTGAGGCAGGCCTTGAGAGTGTTATCTGGGAGGAGTTCGATCCTGTGGCTCTCGAGGACGTGGACAGGATCTTGGGACGGCTGAACGCGACCACATGTTTATTGGACCCGTGTCCCTCCTGGTTGGTGCTGGCTTCCCGGGAGGTTACACGAGGCTGGCTCCAGGGGATTATCAACGCTTCTTTGAGTGAGGGTGTCCTGCCGGCCACCTTGAAAAAGGCGGTGGTGAGGCCTCTCCTCAAGAAGCCATCCCTGGATCCGGCTGTTTTGGCTAACTATCATCCAGTCTCCAACCTTCGCTTTATTGCGAAGGTTGTTGAGGGTGTGGTGGCGCAACAGCTTCCCCAGTACCTGGATGAAGCTGTCTATTTGGATCCGCTCCAGTCCGGCTTCAGACCTGGGTACAGCACGGAAACGGCATTGGTCGCATTGGTGGATGATCTCTGGAGGGCCCGGGATAGGGGTTATTCCTCTATCCTGGCCCTGTTAGACCTCTCAGCGGCTTTTGATACCATCGACCATGGTATCATGTTGCGCCGGCTGGAGGGACTGGG